TAGGCCTAGAGGGCTCAGTCTGAAAGCAACGTTTCTTGCTCAATTTCAGTCAATGACCATATCAGTCTGCCCAGGAAAGCAGCCAGAGCTAATAGACTGCCCATGTCTCGAATGGTATTGTCTCAGTGAGTGGAATAAAGCCCCAGGAGTCCACCACCTGCCTGGTGCATCCTATACTGTAGAAAGTGATCAAAGAGTCCCTGGATTAAAGCAGGGTTCTCGGGCTAGAGTCCTCATTGGGGCCAGACTGGGCTGGCATGCAGCTTTGATCAACAAGTGACATGAGAAAAAGCTCAAATCTAATTTTGTGCAGAATCTTCTAAGGAGCTAGAAGAGAGGATGGGAAGGAGAGAGATGCTGAGTATCTTCCCTCCTGTACTTGATCTCCACTACTATACAGTACTTCACTCAACAGCTGGTTATTGAACACCTACTGTGTGCCAGACCTAGGAAAGGCCACAGCTTAGTCTGTGTGGCTGGGTGGGAATATAAGCTGAAATTCGCATACCTTGGCTCTGCTCTAGCTGCTTTAGCACAAGAAGAGGGGGATCCTTTTGTAAGTTCCTCTGTCTGGAAGGAGCACCAGTTTTCTGATTCACAATAAAGGGAAATACAATTGTGCATGGCTTAGCAATGGGGATACATTCTGTGAAATGTGTCATTAGGTGATTTCTCATAGAGAACATCATAGAGTATACTTGCACAAACCTAGGTAGGAGAGCCTACTAACACCTAGGCTATACATATAGCCTACTGCTCTTAATACAAACCTGTATAGCATGTTTCTGTACTGAACTGTAGGCAACTGGAACACAATGGTGTTTGTATATTTAAGCATATCTAAACATAGAAAAGGTACAGTAAAAATAGAGTATTATAGTCCTATGGGAACACCATCGTGTATATACAGTTCATTGTGGACTGAAATGTTGTTGAACAGTACATGACTTTATGTGCTGACAGAGGCAGGGGATACCATAGAAGGCAAATAAATACAAAATTCCTGTCTGTTTGGAACTCACATTCTAGAGAGGGAGACCAAGAATGATACCTGCCCTGAAGAAAAATTAAGCAAATGGACATGATGTTGGTGCTGGCTGATATTTTATTTTATTTTTTTTATTTTTTATTTTTTTTGAGACGGAGTTTCGCTCTTGTTACCCAGGCTGGAGTGCAATGGCGCAATCTCGCTCACCGCAACCTCCGCCTCCTGGGTTCAGGCAATTCTCCTGCCTCAGCCTCCTGAGTAGCTGGGACTACAGACACGCGCCACCATGCCCAGCTAATTTTTTGTATTTTTAGTAGAGACGGGGTTTCACCATGTTGACCAGGATGGTCTCGATCTCTTGACCTCGTGATCCACCCGCCTCGGCCTCCCAAAGTGCTGGGATTACAGGCTTGAGCCACCGCGCCCGGCCTCTGGCTGATATTTTAAATCAGCTGGTCAGGGAAGCTCTTTCTGAGGCAGGACCTCTGATCTAGTTCCTGAGAGAAAGTGGAGAGAGACCCATGCAAAGGTGTAGAGAAAGAGATTTCTAGAGAAGGACACAGTAAATTTGCAAAGGCCCTGAGGTAATTATTAACTTGGTATATTTGAGGAATATAGTAAGACCAGTGTATTAGAAGAGGAGGAAAGAAGGCAAAACTTAGAAGTTGGGTCAAATCATGTAGGGCCTTATGGGCCATGGTAAGGATTCTCACAGATTGTGGGTTTTTGTTTGTTTTGAGAGATTTCATCTTGCTTCGTTATCCAGACTGGAGTGCAATTATGTGATCATAGCTGACTGCAGCCTGAACTCCTGGGCTCAGTCCCCTCACCTCAGCCTCTAGAGTAGCCAGGACTACAGACACATGCCACCATGCCTGGCTTCATAGATATATTCTAACATGAAGAGAAGCCATGGACAAGTCCCAGCAGCAGAATTAGCCTTGTGTTTGTAAAAATAATATTCTAGCTGCTCTGTTACCAGCATTGTGTTCAGTGCTGTAGAGGCACATAAAAGATTTTTGCAACCTTATCTAATTACATAAATACTGTGTATCCACTGCAGAATAAAAGACATAGGGCTATTCATAGCAACATTATTCATAGTAGCCAAAAGGTAGAAATAACCCAAATGTCCATCTATGGATGAATGAATAAACGAAATGTGGCATACATACAATGGAATAGTATTCAATCTTAAAAAGAAATGGAATTTGGCTGAGCATAGTGGCTCATGCCTGTAATCCCAGGACTTTTGGAGGCCAAGGTGGGAGGATCATTTCAGGACAGGAGTTTGAGACCAGCCTGGGCAACACACCTAGACCTGGTCTCCACAAAAGATTTTTTAAAAATTAGCTGGGTGTGGTGGCATGGGCCTGTAGTCCTAGCTACTTATGAGGCTGAGGTGGGAGGATGGCTTGAGCCCAGAAGTTTGAGGCTGCAGCCAGCTATGACCCTATGACTGCACCAGTGACTACACCACTGCACACCTGCCTGGGCAACAGAGTAAGACACTGTGTAAAAAAAAAAAAAAAAAAGAAAGAAAAAAGAAAAGAAAAGAAAAAGGATTGAAACTCAGATACATGCTACAACATGGGTGAATCTGAAAAATATTATGCTTGAAATAAACTGGAAAAAAAGAACCAATATGCTGTGATTCCACTTATTTGAGGTACCTAGCATAGTCAAATTCAAAAAGGATAAAGTACAATGGTGGGTGGTTGCCAGCAGTTGTGGGGAAAGGGTAATAGAAGTTAGTGTTTAATGGGCTCAGAGTTTCAGTTGTGTTGATATTAAGTTCTGGAGATAGATAGCCATGATGGCTGCACAACAATGTGCATTTGCATAATGCCGCTGAATCGTACACTTTAAAATAGTTCAAATGATAAGTTTGATGTATATTTATCACAAAAAATGTGTTTTAGAAAAGACATAGAGTTAGGAGCTAGAAATAGAAAAATGGCCATTCTAGGCAGAAGCAACAACAGGTACAAAGCCCCTGAGGCAAGACTGTGCCCAGCGTGCTCAAGGAACAGCAAGGAGGCCAACATGAGTGGGGTACAATAAGGACAGTGAAGTGTGAGGGCTGATGATATATTGCCTTGCAGGATCCTGTAGTTCCTTAGGAACCTAATGGGAGGTGGGTAGCCACTGGAGGGATTTGAGCAGAGGGGCGATACAATCTAACTTTGGATAAAATAAGATCATTCTGGCTGCTGCGTTCTTTAATCTGAATCTCATTGGCCAATAGGTGTAAGAAAAACACCTACCTCACAGGGTAAATGTGAGCATTTAAAGAGGTAATGCATGTCAAGGGCTTAACATGGTGTCTAACATAGAGTAAGCACTCAATAAAAGGTAAGCACTATTGTGATGGAAATCCAAAGAAAGACAACAGTTCCCTGAAGAGGAAGTTTTAGAAGGCTTCGTGGAGGAGGTGGCAGTTCAACTAGACATGGAAGGATGAACAAGGAGATGCATGGTCAACAGCACGTGAAGGAAAACAGAAAGCCTGCAACAGGCTGAGCGAAGCTCAGGGCAAAGCAGGAGACAGAACTTTTGATCAGTCCTAGCAGGTCACAGGCGAGGACGGTGGTGGACCCTAGAGCCGAGGTGATGGAAGCCTTGAAGGTTTTGCTGCAGAAATCAAGATCTGAGCGTCATGTCAGAAAACTGAATCCCCATCGCTCAGCCTGGAGCTGGAAGAACTGAGGGGCAAGAGTTGGCAGAACGCCGTTCAAGGACTGGGGACAGCTAGGCACGGGGGTCAGCGGCTGAGCTAGAGAAGAAGAGAATCAAGAGGACGAATGTGGGGGTGGCAGAGAGGAAGGCAGCCAAGGGAGAGTTCCGTTCCTCCGCATCGGGGAAGAGGCAGTTAAGTGACCAGCGTCGAGTGCCCCGAGGAGGAGTCGCTGGCATCACCGTCGGAGTCTAGTTCCGCGGCCCTCCGAATCGCCCAGAAGCCCGACTGCTCCGTCAAAGCCCTGGCCACAGTTGCAGACACATTGCCTGGTCTAGCGCAATTAAGTGTTTCATGTTTCAGCTCCCAGACATCAGGGCTCAGGTCTGTTTTCATTTTATCCCAGAGCCTGGCAGAGTGGCACTTGGTAGACACTTGCCAACGGTTCGCTGTCTGAATGTGAGAAACCGTCAAGAGCTTTCGGGGAAGGGCTCAGTGCGCTGAGGGTCTAGAAGCGCGAGAGAGAATGCAAGGCATTCTAACTCCAAGGGGGTTTGACTTGCGTGAGGAAAGGTGCTGCAGAGAGGCTACGGTCACCTACCCACCAGTGTGCAGGATCTACAGACGGGCGGCGGGAGGGCACAGCTCCCCACAGTTTCCAGAGGGCGTTCACACCTAATGCCAGGGGCCTCCTAGAGAAAGAAAACCAGGGCCCGCCCGCGGAACAGTGAGCGTGGAGCACGGCTGTGACCCCGTTTCATGGCCGGGAACACTGAGTCCCCGGGGTCAAAATGTAGGTCCTCAGGAGTTGGGGCCCGAGCCTAGGTGGGCGGGAAGCGATAGCCCCAGCGGGCTGCAGGCGCAGAACGCCTGGCGGGCCCCCAGCACTATTTGCGTATCCCTAGCGAGGCAGCAAACGCTCGGCTGCAGTCCCGGGCGGACGTTGCCAGGCGGGGCGGCAGGGTCCCCGCGCGCGGACACGCACCCCACCCAGCGGTGCCCAGCCCGCACCAGTTAGCGTCCAACTCGCCAACTCCGGGACTTTCGCAAGGCTCTCGAGGGCGGGGGAGCCACCGAGGAGCGGGACGCACCATCGCGGCTCGAGAGGGGGGAAGCGCTCCGGCCCCGCATCCTGCCAAGCCCGGGGGGGCCAAGACTCTCCGCCAGAGGGCCGAGGCTGCGGTGCAGGAACTCGACAGCCGACCCAGGGACGAGCGGCCTAGGGCGGGCGGCTCGGCGGGACTCGGGGGCGGTGGCGGCTGCGGCGATCCCCTACCCATGGCGGCGGCGCTGTAGCGGCGCCCGGCTCCCTGGCCGGCGAGCAGCGGAAGTGCCGCGGAGTTGGAGCAGGGCCGGCGCCGCGGCCGCTTCTGCTCGCTGAGCTGCTGCCGCCGCCGGGCGGACGGGCGGACGCGCGGAGCTGGGGGCGGCGCGGCGGGGCCGGCTGGGTGCGGTGGGGCTGACCGGCCCCGATGAGGCGGAAGGAGAAGCGGCTCCTGCAGGCGGTGGCGCTGGTGCTGGCGGCCCTGGTCCTCCTGCCCAACGTGGGGCTTTGGGCGCTGTACCGCGAGCGGCAGCCCGACGGCACCCCCGGGGGTTCGGGGGCGGCGGTGGTCCCGGCGGCGGGACAGGTGAGTCCCCCCGTTGCCACAGGCCGGGAACACCCCCTTCCTGAATTTACTTTTAGCCTGCGATTTCCTCCTCCACCTTCTGCTGTCTGCCTCCTCAGAGTCAGCTTTGACTCTTCAGCTCTTCCCATTTTTTGGATGGGAAAATTGAGTCCTGTTGGGACTTGTCCAGGGTCCCACACCAGTCAGAGACTGAGTCCGAGCTAGAACCCAGGCGCTGTTTCTCACCACACGTTACCACCTTCCTTTCTGTCCCCGTCTGGTATTCCTTGACCTCTTCCCGTGGATCTATTTTGAAGAATCCTATGTGCATCCCTGTATCCCAGGATGATTCCTGCCTCTGCCAATAGGAATGAAGATTCAGGTTCTTCTATTTCGTGTCCAGTATTTGGTGTCCAGTTACCCCCCAGCGCCCCCCCCGCCCCCCTCCCGCCGCCCACAACCCCCACCTGCTGATCCCAGTGTTCCTTGCTCAGGTCAGACCTTTTCCTGATTTCCCATCCGCCCAATGAGACACCTGGGCCTTCCTCCTCTCCCCATTTATTCAACACCCGCACCATCCCCCCAACTCTAGCCTTTTCCTTCCTCAGATCCTGTGGATTCCTTAAAGAATGTGAAGATCAGGCTCCCATTGAGGCTTCAGGCCCCTGGGGGTGGAGAAGGGGGTGAGCTCCTGGTCCTTAAGGGACCTGCTGCCTTTGACCTTCTGGGAGTCCAGAGGTGGGGCTCTGGTGGGGGGACCCCCAAAATGTCCCAGAAGCTATTGGGGCCCAGTGTCCTGAGGATGGAATACCAGATGCCTTCCCTATCTCTTCGAAACTTGTCTAGTCTGATTAGTTGTAGTGTTTATTGCAGCTAAAACTGGGATTGGCATGGTTTTTGCCTCTTTTGAACTTACCCATGTATATTTGTGTGTATGTGTGTGTGCATGCATTTAGACTAGCAGCTCCCTGATAGCAGAAGCTCTGTCACATCACTCCCACCCTCCCAGGAGGTGCTAGTGAGTGTACTGCTTAAACTGTTTGATACAGTGGAACATTTCAGGCTTTCTTACGGGATTTCCCTGGCCCCATGAGAAGTGGATAATTTGTGTATGATTGATGGTTTTCCTTATTCTTCCCAGTATCAGACTGCTGTCTAGGCAGTCTGGCATCTGGAGCACAGAAGGCCCTTTGCTGCAGAGCTGACCAAGTTGAGCTCAGCCTGTCACTCTGTTAATTGTTGCAAACCATCCTAGAGGGTCTCATTGATCTTTCTGGTAGAGCTTACTGTTTAGAAACTAAGGTTTCCATATGTTTCCTAAACCCCTGGTTCAAACCCTGATAGCCAGCTTAGACCTCTCCCTAAAATTCTGTATCCGTATGGGTTTTCCTTTCATGAAATTCCTTTCCTCTGTTCCTATTCAGTACCAGCATCAGAGTCAGGAGTTCGGGGGTTCTGTCCTCAGCTCTACCACTAACTTACTGTGTGTGTCCTTGATCACCTTTCCTCTCCTTCTCTGAATCTTACTTTCTTGATCTTTAAACCATAAATATTGGTCCAGCTCCAACATTCTGTGATACTATGTGTTCATCGATGAGGAATACAGTGGTCACTTCTTTTTTTCTGTCTTGAGTCAGGAGTTCTTTTTGTAGCATCTCTAACTGTGGAGGCTTCACACTGGACACAGCCCCAGGTCAAGGGGGAGTGTCATACCCTAGGGCCAACTCTCCTTTAGAATAGCTGTAGCCCATTCTAAAATAGTGCTTGACATTTTGCCTCTGCCTGGAGAAAGCCCTCGTATTTCATTTGCTATAGTTGCCAAAGACGTCCTGATTTTCATTTCTATAGACCCAGATGTGTAGAGAAGGTCAAGGTTAACTGCCAGTTTGGCCTGAGCTTTCAAAGTAAATTACTCACGTGTGCAAGAGGGTATTGATGGAGTAAGGCAGCCTTTTGGGCAGGGAGAGAGGGGAGCAACAGCTGGGTGCTGCTCAGAGCCCGTAACTGAAATGGATAGATAGGCTTATCTGGGAAGATCTAGTTTTTTGTTCATTTTATTTTCTCTGGAATAGCATGGAGAGGAGGAAGAAGTGGTGAAGGGGGTTTGGGGGGGTTAGAGGGAATACCAACTGATTATCCTTGCTTTAAAGAAAATCTCTTTGCTTCCTGGGAGCAGCAGAATGGAGCTGTCTCCCCAATGATAAGCTCTTCTAGGTGCTACAGGATTCAGCATTCATCTGCTGCCTTTCAAGAACGCCCTGCCAAATTTCCACACAGCCCCTTTTTGTTTCACTCTCCCACAGATGCAGAGCACTGGGCTTGGCCCCCCAGTCCCTTGCTTGAATGTCAGCTCGCCTTGACGAAAGGGGCTGACTTCTCGGAGTGATGGCGTTCCATCCCTCCTCTCAGTGTACTGGAACATACACGCAACGCTCCAGGCTGCTATCTGGGAAATCTGGCATCTTGAGCATACAGAGCTTTTTCGACAGGGCTGACCAGTTCTGAGCTCAGCCTGTCACTCTTAACAATTGTTGAGAGTCATCTTTGAGCACCTCGTTGATCTTTCTGGTAGAAATAACTGCAGAGGCTCAGGAGGGAAGTCTGACAGGACTTTATCCAAATGAAAAATGTGTTCCATATGGATTTGAAATAAGTTTCTTTGGAAGTAACATATCCACTACTCGAGTAGTTCTCTAACTCCTGATTTCTCCACTGGCTTAAAGAATATGAAATTTCAAATTAAGAGTGTTTATCATCTAGAATGAAGGGCTACAAACCTGTCATGCCAGCTTGTCCTGGGTATACCTCTGAAGCTGGGTAGGATAGCTGATTTATAAAGGACACATAATGCTTCTAGGATTTTGGCAGTCATCTGGTCAGACAGTTGGCTTCTTGGGAAGCTGCAAAACCAAACAAGAAAAGCCAGTCTTGAAGTCATCTTCCTTTTAATTTGTGGGTCCCTCTCATTCCAAGCCCCAATCTGTTTAACATCTTGGTTTAATTCAACAGTCTATTTCATATTCCAGGGTTGGGACATGTTATTAAAATCTCAAGTAAGGAAACTCAATGTAGTCTCTCCTCATTTCTGAGCCATAATCTCTTATTGAAAAATGACTTCACTGGATAATAGCATATGTGGAACAGAAATTGGTGGAATAATGGAATACCAATGACTAATTTTCAAGTATCAGGATTTCTTTCTCACTGTGTTAGAGCTGAACTTTATTCGTAGAACATCCAGAAATCAATATGTTATTTTCTCTTTTTTTCAGTCTTCCTGGTGGCAGAAGCGTTGCCCATCAGAAAGTTAAGTATCATAGAAATGTAGCCTTGGAATGATTTCCTTAATTTTCCACAGAAGGATTAGTATCCTTTAACTTGCTAATCACTCCTCTGTCTGCATGCCCAGGTGAAATCTGACACTACTAGGGAAGGGTTGTTGATTTGCCAGAACAAATCTGGCTCCCCGTATTCTTTCTCTCATTCTTGGCTTGCAGTCTACCAAGGAGCCCAGCTGACGAAGGCCTGGGAACAGAGATCTGGCTTTTAGTCTTTTCTCCTGCCCTAAACTCACTGTGTGACCTCAGGAAAGAGGTTTAATCTCTCTGGGCCATAGATTCATCGTCTGCTAAGTGAGGCTTAGATTCAGAAGGGAAAAGGCAAATGCATATTATAATGATGCTTCCCCTCCCATGGACAGGGCAGATATTGCTAATCAATCTTTTTGTGTCTATTATCAGACTTGGGCTGAGAATGTTTCTCAGCAGGACTACTCAAGTAGAGTTAATGACATACAGAAACTCATTTGCAATGTAGGGAATAAATATTTTGTTAGGGCTTTTCCAACTCCTAACATCCTGAGGGTCTGTGAATATGCTTGGAAGCACATCCGAATAGTGGTAGTATGTTTAAACAGGCCTCTGTATCTAACTTGTTATGGGGCCACAACTTAGGGGTATGTTCTTATTTGAATGTCTTTTCTCAGGCTGTAGTCTAAGGATGTTTCGCCTTTGATCTGTTGGTTCCAGTGACATGGTAACAGATAATGGAATCAGGAATGAAAAGCAAAAGCCCATTTATAAAAAGATAACCATCTAGCTTGCTAATTGTACCTTGTCCACAGTCAGCTCTTACACAGAGATGGCATCAGGATCTCCTCACTGAATCAAAAGCACCTTGAGGCAAACCTGGCAGCTACAAGTAAGCCCCATGGCAGCTAAATGCTCATGCGGTGTTTGCAGAGGTTCCTGTGTTACATATATCTGACGCTCTGCATCCCATATGTGTGTCAGAGCTGGTAAGGGAAGGCCTTGAATAAGAGTCTTGTTTCTCCAGAGAACCTCTGTCCTCAAGCCCAGTGGAGTGGGGAAAGGAGGTAGCCCATACACACCTGAATTCCCATGGCAAGAAGTGTATCGTGGCCTCCCCTGCTGGAAATGGAACACACCCTCTTCTAGCACAAAGCACAAGATTTGGCACTTGGTAGACAAGATGTGTTTGCTGAATGATTCAAATGTATCAGAGCATGCCAGAGGCTTCAGAAGTCATCTAGTCATCCAGTCCCCTCAATTTGTAGGTATGAAAACTGAGGCTGAGAAAAGGGGAATCAAATTTAAAAAGTTCCCTTAGGGAGGAAAGCAGATCAGAATACATTCTCCAAGTTCTTGTTCTGTTTCACCATAAGAAATTTTTTCCCCCCATATACCTAATATTTGATCCTTTTCTACCATTATTTCTCTCAGGAACCAAGGTTATCACTCCAAATTTTGGAGGCCAGCGCTGGGACTTACCTGCCTATTTTTTTGTAGATCCATTTTTGTACATTTTCTTTCTAACATTTTATAGTTTTAAAAGTAACTAAAATGGATTGAAATCTATGTGGCAAAGGGCCAGCAGTGGAGGAATTAAAGGCCACGTAGCACATGGCACCATTACTGCTATCCCTGATAGACAGAGAGAATCTGAGCCTAAGAGCGACCTCAGATTCTCTATCAGTTGCAAGAAACAAAACAAATTATGCC